TGCAATGCTTGGTAAGAAATGTACGCATTATCCTGCCCATGTAATTGTAACCCCTCTGTACAGTATGTTCACAAATAAAATTAAATTAAAAAAAGAAAAAAAACAAAAAACAATTCCCCTAGGCTCTTAGAATGTTCAGTAGATTGCTAAATACCAAAGGAGGATGAAAGCCGGGAAAGCCGGGAAGGACACGCACGCTGTCGTTACGGCCTTGTCGTTTATGCACACAGCGTACAAGACTTGGCTCTGGCAGGAGCTCAGTGGCTTGTGCTTGTCACAGCCTGTGTGGTGTGTTGTGGATGTGAACTAGAGTCAGCACCGGCCTTGGGGGCCAGTTTCCCTCTTCATCCGGGGGGGGGGTCAGGTGAGGCTGAGCCAAGGACTGGAGACATTTGGACTTACCTGGGCCAATGGCAGGACCAGCAAAGACCGGAGAGGCTGCCTCCGTCCCGGTTCCATGCCGTAGGCTAACGAGAGCAGAGGCACAGTGGGGCGTTGCAGCCACCGTCCCCACACCCTGATCCAGAGAGCCTGCCTCTTGGCAGAAAATCAGGCCTCCTGGAAATTGGAAGCAGGACTCCTATTCCTGAGGCCTCACTACTGACTGAGCCTGAACCGCCTCTTGCCTCTGCCCCCTGCCTGTCCCTTCTTCCTCCCTTAAAAGACTGGGCCTGAGACCATTGGACGCCTGACATGAGTCCCCACTCTCATTATTGCAGGAGGAGATGGGACAGGAGGGCCCAGAAGTTATGGTCAGTGCACTGCATTTTGGAGCACCAGCTGCTCTTCCTTGGTGCCGGGGCTGACCTTAATACTTAGAGTTGTACCTTCCCAGGCTGTGAGTGAGGCACAAGCCTCCACATAAGTCCATGATTTAGGGGGCTAGGCCACGTAAGAAGAAAGCAGACTTGATAGACCGTAAAAGCATTGCAGCTCGTTGCTGTGCATAGCTTGTGTTTAGTGCCTCACTGCCTCCCAGCCTGTTTTGCAAATAGTACATGCTAGATGATTCAGTTGTATTTCTTTTTGCTTTGTCGGTCATGGGGCTTGAGCTCTGGGCCTGAGTGCTGCCCCTCAGCTCTTAGCTCAAGGTGAGCACTCTACCACTTGAGCCACAGCGCCACTTCCAGTTTTCTGAGTGGTTTATGGAGATATGTGTCTCACGGACTTTCCTGCTTGGGCTGGCTCTAAACCACAATCTTCAGATCTCAGCCCTCTGATTAGCTAGGATTACAGGCGTGAGCCACTATGTCCGGCTTTCTGTTGTATTTTTATATTTCATTGATTCCGACCCATTCATTGTAAGATGCAGCATTTTCTGTGTAGCAACAAGAAGGAAACTTTCCAGTTCAGCTATGACACAAAGCTTTACCATGTGGTGATTTTAATTTTATCCTTACCAAAAGAATTCTTTTAGATCTATTTAGTTTTTTTCCTGTGTCACTTTTGCACACACGTACAAAAAATAGTAGGCCTTAAGTGCATTTGTGACGGCGTTCCTAGTGCCTTCTTTGAGCATTTGATGCCACATGGGCAACATCTTTGTTCTTCCCGGGTCAGCCTCTGTGCTTTCAGCAGCTGGGCAATAGGACATTTTCCTAAGCCGGTGACCCAATCCTGGCGCCTCTGGGAGGCATGGCTGACAGACACAAGTCCGTATTGCAGTCATGTGCCTTTCTGTGAGTCTTGCCCCTGGACTAGACGGGGAGGTCACTGTGTCTCTCACACTTGGGGGGTACGGCGGCTCCAGTGGACACTACTGCTGTGGTCAGCCTTGCCCTCGGCCTCTGCAGTCACCATGTGTTGTATGGAGTATCAGCAGGGCCACCAGCGTGGACAGTGTGTGGGTGTAGTAGTGCAGCCTTTTCCCGTGTGCTCAGCCTTGCTTTCCAGGTGAGGATGTGAACTGCACAGCGAGTTGAGACTTTTCCATTTGTACTCACCTCAGCTGGCGCAGCCACCGAGAGCAGACCTGGAGAGCCTGTGCTGCGTGTGCGGCTGTGCTGCGTGTGCGGCTGTGCTGCGTGTGCCGCCGAGCTGCGTGTGCGGCTATGCTGCGTGTGCCGCCGAGCTGCGTGTGCCACCGGGCTATGTGGCCCCGGCTCTGTCCAGTCTCGCTCCCCACCTGTGGCCCTGTGCTCAGCTCTGGCTTCTCTTAGCAGTGTTCGGCGGGTCCTGCAGGGCAGGCATGTGGGTGCAGGTGTGGTATGAAGGCCCTTGGCTGTGTCCTGGTGGGCCCAGTGTGCACCTGCAGTGTGGGGCAGGCTGGGGGGCGGGTCTTGTCACCATGGAGCGAGGACAACCACGGGACTGGCTTTCCTTCAAAGGATGCTGACTTGGTGAATGCCCAAGTCTGTCTGTGCACACCTAACTTCTTTTTTACATTATTGAGATTATACGTGACACCTGGTCAAACCTCCTGAGGAGTTCCTGAGGCTGGGGTTCCAGCCTTCCCCCCAAGTTACTCAGGGTGCTTCATCTGTTTGTTGTTCCGGCTGGTGGAAAAGGAGAATCTGGTGGGGATCAGACACAGACTTGGGCTGGAAGTTTAGGGTCTGGGACGGGAGCCTGGGGGGTGGGGGGGACTGTGTCCAGACTGCTGGCCTCACCCTGTGCCGTCACCCTACAGAGGGGCCACAGGAGAGTGCCCCCAGCACCTAAATTAGGGGATGGGTGAGGGAAACAAGGCAAGGAAGATAGAACTCCAACAGGACTTTCCTGCTGGAACCAAATGCAAATTCCTAGGCTCTGTTCTGAGTCAGTGATATATTAGATCTGGAGTTGGGCCTTGAAAGCTACGTGTGTTTTGTCTGTATCTGTGTGTACTGTGTCTGTGTGTTTGTGTGTGTGTGTGTCTGTGTCTGTGTCTGCGTGTACTGTGTCTGTGTCTGTGTGTCTGTGTGTACTGTGTCTGTGTGTCTGTGTGTCTGTGTGTACTGTGTCTGTGTCTGCGTGTACTGTGTCTGTGTCTGTGTGTACTGGGTCTGTGTCTGTGTGTACTGTGTCTGTGTGTACTGTGTCTGTGTGTCTGTGTGTACTGTGGCCTGAACTCGGAGTCTTGCACTCTCCCTCAAGACTGCTACTCTACTACATGAGCCATACCTTCACTTTCAGCTTTTGGTGGTTAATTAGAGGTAGGAGGCTTATGGATTTTTCTGCTGGGCTGGCTGCAAGCTACAGTCCTCAGTTTTCAGCCTCTTGAGCAGCTAGGATTACAGGCATGAGCCACCAGCACCTGGCTGGAATCTGTTTTTTTAAAAGATTCCTAGCTGGCTGCGTGCTGGTGGCTCATGCCTATAATCCTAACTGCTCAGGAGGCTGAAAACTGCGGATCGTGGTTCAAAGTTAGACTGGACAGAAAAGTCTCTGTGAGACTTTTTTTTTTTTGTCCGTCGCGGGGCTTGAACTCTGGGCCTGAGCGCTGTCCCTCAGCTCTTCAGCTCAAGGCTAGTGCTCTGCCATTTGAGCCACAGCGCCACTTCTGGTTTTCTAGTGGTTTATTATAGGAGTCTCACAGACTTTCCTGCCTGGGCTGGCTTTGAACCACGATCTTCAGATCTCAGCCTCCTGAGTAGCTAGGATTACAGGCATGAGCCACCGGCGCCCAGCTACGTGAGACTCTTATCTCCAATAAATTCCTCAGAAACCAGAAGTGGCACTGTGGCTCACAGTGGTAGAACACTAGCAGTGAGCACAAAGGCTCAGGGACAGCGCCCAGACTCTTGAGTTCAGTCCCCACAACCAAAACATAAATAAATAAATAAATAATGCCTGGCAGGTTGCGAAGCTTGGGTTGAGGAGGATTTTTCTGAGAGTCTACCTTTTTGGGTTCAGGTTCAGATGAGTGCAATGGCAGCTTCTGGCTCTGGGTTGGATGTGTGGACCCGACGGGCAGGAGCCTTCGGAGGCGACGCCCTCGCCAGGCCCATGGCACTGAGTTGTGACCTCGCCACAAAAGGAAGTTCAGGAAATACTGATCAAGACAGTTTACTGGTCAGACAAAGCAAAGGCAGAGATAAAGGTGTACACAGCTAAGGCACGGGCCCGTGCGCGAGCAGGCCACGGCTGCTCTGACATTGTGGGTATGTACCGTGAAGAAGGAGTTCAGGGGGTGGCTCGAATTCACCTTCAGATGAGTGTTTCCTTTTCTCCCTGTGCCGGCTTTGGGTGTGTACCACCAGCACGTGGGAGGGAGACAGAAATTGACATTGCACCCTTCTGTTCATGTTTTAATTTTCCAGACAGGGTCTTGCTCTGTAGACCTTTGTCCTCTCTAACTTGTTCTCCTCCTGACTAAACCTCCCGGGTGCTGGGGTCGCGGGCATGTGCCACCACACTGGCTGCTAGAGTTTTTGTTTTTTGTTTTTTGACGGTTTTTTTGGTTGGTTGTGGGGCTGGTGCTGTCCTAGAGTTTTTTCACTCAAGGCTAGTACTCTACCACGTAGAGCCACAGCTCCACTTTCAGTTTTTTGGTGTTTAATTGGAGAAAGTGTCTTAGACTTTCTTGCCCAGGCTGGCTTTGAACCACTATCTTCAGATCTCAGCCTCCTGAGTTAGCTAGGATTACAGGCTTGAGCTACCAGCACCTGGCTAGTGTACTTTAATCTTAGGAAAGCTATCAAAGTCCTAATTTTAATTCTTTTGATCTTAATTCTAGGAAACATAAGCTAGGTGAAATAATAAAAAAGATGATGGTATTACATGAAGAAGTTAATTGCACTGAGATATCTTTTTTAAAAAGTTTTTTTTTTTTGGGTCCAGTCATGGGCCTGAACTCTGGGCCTGGGAGCTGTCCCTCAGATCTTCAGCTCAAGGCTAGTGCTCTATCGCTTGAGCCACAGCACCACTTCCGGCTTTTTTTCTTTTTGCTTATTTGGTGCTGAGGAATCGAACCTAGGGCCTCATGCATGCAAGGCAAGCGCTCTACCACTGAGCCACCTTCTCAGCCCTTAAGTTTTTTAATTAATTTCTAGTACCTGGACATTACAAACATTTCTTATTTAGTTATGTAGAGAAAAAAGATACATTTATTTGCAAAGAGAAATCACAAACTTACAGCTCATGGTGTCAAACAGGTCATATATTTAAGAAGGAAGAAACGAGGCTTCTGAACTGTTAGGTGGCTGGCCATGGTCATCTTGAAGATTTAAAACTTAAAGGTTACCACCACTGACCTGCAGTCAATTAGAAAGTGACCTTTTGTGGAACAGGAGTTCTCTGTGGCGCTGGGCTGGGAATGGCGTGCTGAGTTCTCCATCTGGCGCATGGAGTGCTAAGAGCACAGAACACAGGAAGGGCCTGCAGGAAGGAAGGGCTGGCGGGGTTCTGCCTCCGCGTGCCAGGCTGACCGGCCTGGGCGGTGAAAGCAGCTCATGTGCACTGTGGACCCGCATCCCTCAGCGGCCCTCTGCTGCATGGTTGTCACCTCTGCCCTTTATGATGGAGATCCTCAAGATCAGGTCCCATGGTGCACACTGTAGTCTCAGCTACGCAGGAGGCTGAGGTGGGAAGATCACTTGAGTGCAAGAGTTTAAAACCATCCTAGGAGGCTGGGCGCTGGTGGCTCACGCCTGTAATCCTAGCTACTCAGGAGGCTGAGATCTGAGGATCGTGGTTCAAAGCCAGCCCGGGCAGGAGAGACGGTGAGACTCCTATCTCCAATAAACCACCAGAAAACCAGAAGTGGTGCTGTAGCTCAAGTGGTAGAGCACTCACTCGCCTTGAGCTGAAGAGCTGAGGGACAGCGCCCAGGCCCAGAGTTCAAGCCCCACGACCGACAAAAAAAAAAAAAAAATAAAATAAAAAATAAAAAAACCATCCTAGGCAAGAGAGAGCATATCTCAGATGAACAAATAAGATGGAGCTCCCCATCTAGACAGGAAGACATGAGTTTTCAAGTGCCTCACTCACTTTGAAGGGGCTCCCGCAGGGCCAAGGCCCTCAGACCAGCCTCACTCCCACAGAATCAGGATGCAGGAGCACTGTGACTTGAACCACCTCATGCCAGTATGTAGGCTAGGCTTTGTAGTGGCGTACTTTTTCCATGTGTTTCTATTTCCTTTAACTAGTTCAGATGATTTTTCACAGAGAAGCTCAGAGTTTCACACACCCCTAAATAAAATTGGGTTCTGTGTATTCTAGATTCATAAAGAGAATCTGAGCCCTTGCTAACCGTATCTGCCTGTCCCTTGCTTGCCCAGGGCGAAGACACCCGTTATCGGAACGGAGAATCATGCACTACATGTACCAGCTGTGCAAATCCCTTGACCACATGCACAGGTACTGAGCCCTGGGCCCGAGATGCAGCTTCAGTCCCGTCCAGTCTCATCCCCACTGGAACTGGAACTGGTAGTGGGAGGCAGTGGGCAGACCAGAGAGGGATGGCAGATATGGCCAGAACTGTTTGTATGCACACAACACATGGAACAGAAGTGACACTTGTTGAGGCTGGATTAGAGTTGTCAAGGGGCTCTCACCAGGATCCATTGTCTGAGCTGGGAGCTCATGGCTCACATCTATATCCCAGCTATGCAGGAGGCTGAGATTCTGAGGATTACAATTCGAAGCCAGTTCAAACAGGAAAGTCCATGAGACTTATTTCCAATTAACCACCAAAGTATCTGAAGTGGAGCTGTGGCTCAAGTGGTAAAGCACCAATCTTAAGCAAAAAAGCTAAGGGACAGCACCCAGGCCTTAAGTTCAAGCCTCATTATGGGAACTAAAAAAAGGAAAATCCATTGTTTGCATAAATAAATTTAAAAATGCAATTCTGGTCGAAGAATTTGAATAAATGAAGGATAGTTATTTAGTTAATTATTTATTTTTGTGGTAGTAGGGTTTGAACTCAGGGCTTCATGCTTGCTAGGCAGGTGCTCTGCCCCCTAAACAATACCCTAAATCCTTTGCTTTTGTTATTTTCTTGGTCCGGTTGTGGGGCCTGAAGTCTGGGCCTGGGTGCTGTCCCTCAGCTCTTCAGCTCAAGGCTAGCGCTCTACCACTTAAGCCACAGCGCCACCTCCCGCTTTTTTCTTTTTGCTTATGGGGTGCTGAGGAATCGAACCCAGGGCCTCAGGCATGCAAGGCAAGCGCTCTACCACTGAGCCACCTTCCCAGCCCTGCTTTTGTTATTTTCAAGTAAAGTCTCATAGTTATGCATGAGCTGGCCTTAACCATGATCCTATTTCTACCTCCCACATAGCCAGGATGACAGGTTTTTATTGGTTGAGATGGGGGTCTCATGAACTTGGTGCCGGGGCTGGCTTGAGCTTCTGTCCTCTTGATCTCAGTGTTCCAAGTAGCTAGGATTATAGGTGTGAGCCATTGTGCTTGGCTAATTCTATTTTTTGTCCCTTCTATACTAAATGCAGAAATGGAATATTTCACAGGGATGTGAAACCAGAAAATATACTAATAAAGGTAAGTACTTCATGTGAACACTTGATATCCACAATAAAGGTAGAATTGGAAACTGGATGTATTGTCAGTCCCAGGTAGCTGGAAAATAATGGTGTTGTTTTTGTTTTGTGTCAGTACCAGGCCTTTAACTTAGGGTCTGGGCATTATCTCTGAACTTTTTTGCTCAAAGCTAGTATTCTACTACTTGAGCCACAGCTCCACTTCCAGCCTTCTGGTGATTTATTGGAGATAAGAGTCTCATGGACTTTCCTTCCCAGGCTGGCTTTGAAACCTTTATCCTCAGATCTCAGCCTGCTGAGTAGCTAGGATTACAGGCGTGAGCATGGGTACCTAGCTATGGTGTGTTTTTGTTTTGTTTTGTTTTCAGTTCTAGGGAGGGAACCCAGAGTCTCAAACAGGGCAGTCTGACTCTGTATCAATGAGCTATTTTCCCAGCCCTTGTATTTTCTCCCTCCCAGTTTGGAAAAGAAGGCTTACTTAGTACATGTCGTCATCTTCATTGGCCGCGCACCTGCAGGAGACACTTGAGGTTCCTCCTGCTCGGCCTTTCCAGTGCTGACCCAGGGTGGTAGATGTAGGCACTCACTTCTGGGATTTGGAGTCTTGTGTTGGGGCTTTCTCTCCAATGCCACCTGCACTGCCAAGTTTAAAATGAACCCCATGCCATTGTCTGGTGTCCTCCACTGAGACTTGCTAACAGAACCCCGTGAAGTCACATGGCTGCAAGAGCGCATGTGCAGTGAGCTGAGGACTGAGCCACCCGGACGGACATGGGAACTAGAAGCCAGGCCCTGTGGCTCATGCCTATGGTCCTACTTATTCTGGATGCTGAGATATGAGAATCATGGTTTGAAGCCAGCCTGGGTAGAAAAGTCCACTAGATTCTATCTCCAGCTAACCAGCAAAATACCCAACTAGAGTCATGGCCTAGGTGGTAGAGTTCAAGCCATGAGCAAATAAGCTGAGCAAGGCCCTGAGTTCAAGCAATACCGACACACACACACATCAGCAAAAAGAACTAAGGGGCTGGGAAGGTGGCTGAGTGGTAGAGCGCTTGCCTAGCACGCATGAAGCCCTGGGTTCCATTCCTCAGTGCCACATATACAGAAAAAGCCAGAAGTGGCGCTGTGGCTCAAGTGGTAGAGTGCTAGCCTTGAGTAAAAGAAACTCAAGGCTTTGCTCAAGCTCAAGGCTTGACCTGGCAAGCTTCGGGACTGGCCAAAAAAAAAAAAAAAAAAAGGACGTAAGTTGGAAGTCTATGTGAAATCTAGCTAGAATGTGTGTAGGCACGCAGTGTGAATAGAGCGCCCTCTGCTCTGTGACACTCCTGTGTCAGACAGCGGCAAAGTGCTTTGTACACTGGCTGGGACGCTTAGCGTTGGGAATGGGTGTGCAGCAGGGCTGCACGGTGAGTTGGTTCTTGTCCCTGCCCTGTCTTGTGCAGCAGGACGTCCTGAAGCTCGGGGACTTTGGATCCTGCCGGAGCGTCTACTCCAAGCAGCCGTACACAGAGTACATCTCCACGCGCTGGTACCGGGCCCCCGAGTGCCTCCTCACGGACGGCTTCTACACCTACAAGATGGACCTGTGGAGCGCAGGCTGTGTGTTCTACGAGATCGCCAGGTAGCCTGCGCCAGCTCCCACCTTGCCTGGGGAAGGGCTCCCTCCTCTGCGCCCTGGGGCTGTCCCGCCAGGGGCTCGTGTGTGTTAACAGTGTCTTGAATCAACAGCAAGTTGACTGTGCTGTCTTGTGCTGCTGTTGCTTTTTTGTGCGTCAGTCCTGGGGCTTGTACTTAGGGTCCAGGTGCTGACCCTGAGCTTTTTTGCTGTCTACCACTTGAGCCACAGCTCCACATTTGCTTGATTGGAGTTAAAGGCTCATGGGCTTAGCTGCCTGGGCTGGTTTTGAACCAAGATCTTCAGATCTCAGCCTTCTGAGTAGCTAGACAGGTGTGAGCCACTGAGGCCTGGCGCATTTTATTTGTCAAGTCCTTGCCCTTGCTTTCCTGCCGTGGGGAGCGGTCGTCTCCCTTGGGCTCCCTCAGGGAGGGCTTGGACTAGTGTTCCAGGCAGAGGAGCAGTAAGTGTACTGCGACTGCAAAGCCTGCAGTGGCGGTGGGCACGCAGTGTCTCAGCCACGCAGGTAGCCGCTAGGGCGTCCACGCGGGGATGAGGACGAGGTACTTCCTGTACCCCAAGACTTTCCTACAAAGCGCACATCGCATCCTTCCCCGGTTCCTCCTTTCCCCCTCTTCTCCTCCCCTCTTCTCTGTCCTCCCACTATTCCTCCCCTCCTCCCGCCCCTCCCCTCCCCTCCTCCCTCTTTTCTTTCCCTTCCCTCCCTCCCTCTTCTCCCTTCCCTCCTCCCTTGGCCTTCAGGCTCCATCTCTGGGGGGAGTGGTGGTCCAAGCAGATTGGGCAGAGTTTGTGCCCACTTGAAGATGAGCTTCTGGCTACAGCAGCCCAGGGAAGGGTGGGCGTGTCCTCTTGCTCCAGGCGAGCCATCAGTCCAGCAGGGCCGAGCGTTGTGGTGCTCCTGCCCCGTTCAGCTGGCTCTGCAGAAATGACACAGACCTTCGGGATACGTTTCCTTTGACTTCAGTGTTGGGTTAAGAGTTGTTGTCTGAATGAGCTGACTGAATAGCGGCTTCATTCAAACCCAAAGTGCTGATGACACTTCATACCCCAGGCTCAACCCTGTGCATTAGTTTGGAAGGATGGCAGTGAACAAGGTGGCTGGCAGCATCTCACCAGTCTGTTGCTGGGCACTAGTGCCCAGCCTCTCCTGAGCACTCATCTCTTCTTCTTCAGTCCAGGATATCGCTGTTTGCTGATAGAAGCTCCTATTGCTTTTAGAGCTGTATTTTAAGTTTTCTTTGTGTCCTGTAACATGAATTGAATTTTTTTGGGGGTGGGGGTGGGTGGTTGGTTGTAAGGCTTGATCTCAGGGCCTGAGCGCTGTTCCTGAGCCTCTTTGTGCTCAAGGCTAGCTCTACCGCTTGAGCCACAGCGTCACTTACTGCTTTTGAGTAGTTAATTGGAGATAGGAGTTTCACAGGGACCTTTCTGCTGGGCTGGCTTCGAACTGCAATCTTTAGATCTCAGCCTCCTGAGCAGATGAACTGATTTGTGTGTGTGTGTGTGTGTGCGCGCGCGCGTGTGTGGCTGGTATCAGGGCTTGAACTCAGGGCCCGGTTGCTGTCACTGTGTTTTTTGTTCAAGGCTAGCACTTTACCAGTTGGCTTTTTGATGATTAATTGTTAGTCAGAAATAGGAGTCTCGGACTTTCCTGCTTATGGTAGCTTCAAACCAGGGTAGCTAGGATCATAGGCATAAGCCACAGTGCCTGACTCTTTTAGCTTTTTTGCTTAAGGCTGGTGCTCTGCTTCTGGCACTCTACCACCTGAGCCACACATCTGCTTCCAGCTTTTTGCTGATTAATTGGTGATAAGAGATTTGTCTGCTTTGCCTGGCCTCAAACTGGAATCCTCAAATCTCAGTCTCTTTTATGGTCGGTCATGGGACTTGCACTCTGGGCCTGGGCGCTGTCCCTCAGCTCTTCAGCTCAAGGCTAGCGCTCTACCACTTGAGGTACAGCGCCACTTCCGGTTTTCTGGTGGTTTATTGGAGAGAAGAATTTCACGAACTTTTATGCTCGGGCTGGCTTTGAACCGTGATCCTCAGATCTCAGTCTCCTGAGTAGCTAGGATTACAGGCATGAGCTACTAGCGCCCGGCTCGATCTCAGTCTCTTGAGTGGCCAAGATTCTTTTTTTCCCCCCCCCTGGCCATGGGGCTTGAACTCTGGGACTGAGCACTGTCCTTCAGCTCTTCAGCTCAAGGCTAGCACTCTACCACTTGAGCCATAGCACCACTTCCAGCTTTTTCTGCTTATGTGGTACTGAAGAATGGAACTTAGGGCCTCATGCATGCGAGGCAAGCACTCTACCACTTAGCCACCTTCCCAGCCCCAGGTGGCCAAAATTCTAATATGAGCCACTAGCTCCTAGCCATGAATTGAATTTTTAAATATAGGTCTAAAATCATTGTCTCCCATTCCCAGATCTCTAAAAGCTCTGAAATCTAAAAGTGTTTCTTAGAACTTACTTGTCAACAAGACCCGCTCTGTCCCCCTGGGTTTGTCAGCAGAGCTCACCCTGGCGGACCAGAGGACCTGTGCTTGTAGAGTTCGTGAGCATTCATTCACGTTTTGCTGCAGACACAGAGTGTGGGCCTGCTGCCTGCCATCGAAGCACACGCAGGACGCTGGAGAGGCGGCCGAGGGGCTTGCTCTGGGTGAGCCGGTCCCAGCCAGCCTCGCCTCACCCCGTCACACCCTTGCAGCCTGCAGCCCCTCTTCCCCGGAGACAATGAACTCGACCAGATCTCAAAGATCCACGACGTGATTGGCACACCTGCTCAGAGGACCCTGACCAAATTCAAGCAGTAAGTGTCGTATCCCCTGAGGAGAGGAAGTGGCCTGCTGTCCCGCCTCACTGGGTTCCCGCTGCAGGAAGTGGGGCAGCCTCGTCCCTCCAGGAGTTCATGGAGATGGGCTCTTCCTTGGGCATCATTGGACCTCCCAGGGTCTCTGAGGGCCTGGGAGCTGGGCTGCATCCACGGACCTAAACACACTTAGAAACCCTGGGACCAAAAGTCTCCCGGTCATCTAGACCGCCCTGGTCTAGATTGAACTCAAGCCTCACACTTTGCTAGGCCGGTGCTCTATCCTTTGAGCCACTCTTTCCTTAATTTCCTCATAGTAGTCTTTTATGGGACAGGTAGGAAAGAGCTACCTGCCCAGCTGTGCAGAGCTCTGGCCCAGGAGTTCTTCCACCAGTGCCCACTTCACCCCCCAGCAGCCCATGCTTTTAGAGCAGCTTGAAGGTCGCTGCACAGGGGGGCAGTGTGTCCAGAGGGCAACCCTCCCCCATGTGCATGGTCCCAGGCCCCCAGGTCCCCAGGCCCCCCTCCTGCAATGGGTGTTCCCCGGGCCGTGCCCATGCTCAGACTCCCTTCAGTGTGGGTCCCTTAGATTGGGGTGCTGACTGGCGAGCACTCTAATAACCGCGTGATGGTTTATTGTCATTGGGTTTTAATGCAGGTCGAGAGCTATGAGTTTTGATTTTCCTTTTAAAAAGGGATCGGGAATACCTCCACCGCCCACCAACCTGTCCCCGCACTGCCTCTCCCTCCTGCACGCCATGGTGGTCTACGACCCCGACGACAGGATTGCTGCCCACCAGGCCCTGCAGCACCCCTACTTCCAGGAACAGAGGTAGGCCTGCCGCACCCCGGCTTCCGGGAGTGGAGGCGGGCTGGCCCGGGAACAGCTCTGCCCCTCCTCCCGGGGTCCCGGGGGTCCCAGTGTCCGGGACCCGCCCAGGTGGCGCCGCATGCAGGGGAAGGAGGCTGGGCGGCTATTTTGGGGGTGATGCCGAGGCTCCAGCAGGTGACCATGGCGGGGCCTGGCCGTGTCGGGGACAGACGGTGCGGGTTCACACGGGATCGTGGGGCGCGCAGAGCCTGCGGAGGGCCCGGCCCTGCCCCACCGAGGTTGGGGTGGTCTCTGCCTCGCCCGGGCCCTGGGGCGCCTCGCTGGCAGGCTGGAGCTGTGACACGGCCCCTCTTCCCCCTCAGGGGAGCCGAAGCCCGGGCTCTGGTCAGCCATCGGAGAGCCTTCTTCCCGGCG